GGTATTTTTGAAACGAATCAGGTGTCTGGTAGCGGCTGGTTCGAAGTTCCAAGCAACAACGTTTTCGCAATCGCGGCGCTAACACGTGTTCGACGCACGAGCGGCAGGAATGGCTCAGGCGCTGCTAGCAAATATTGCCGGAATGCCCGTAGCGCGGCAAATACCTTCTCTTTTCCTTCCTGGAAAACGAACCGACTGTCGAGGCAAGGGATAAGCAAGCGGCCATTACCATTTCTTCTGAGGCGTGATCAGGCGAGATGCCCGCGAGAAAGGAAGTCACGTGTGTGCGCCGAGGGCTGACCCGGCTGGCTTCCGGTTGAATCCGCCAAAATCGGGGGAGCGACTTTTCTCGGATCCAGATCCAGATCTGGAGCGGGAGGTAATCCAAAAAGACCAGTGGAACACGTTCGTCTCGATCCCGATCGCCCTGTGAAATAGGCTCGCTCCGGAAAAGTCGATCCCGGCGATCTTCAAAACGGCTCGTGGAATTCGCCACGAGAAAAGTCGCTCCCACGATTTCGGCAGATTTAACCGGAAGCCAGCCGGGCCAGCCCTCGGCGCACACACGTGACTTCTTTTCTCGTGGGGCATCTCGCATCAGAAGAAGACGAAGCACGTCGCGGGCTGGGCTCCTAGATTGTCTCGACATCAGAAGAATTCGTAATGGCCGCTTGCTTACCCCTTGGCTCCACAGCCAGTTCGTTTTCCAGGAAGGAGAAGAGAAGGTATTTGCCGCGCTACGGGCATTCCGGCAATCTTTGCTAGAAGCGCCTGAGCCATTCCTGCCACTAGTGCGTCGAACACGTGTTAGCACCGCGTAGCGAAGACGTCTTCGAAACGACCGCGGCGGCCGTGAAAAGGGGTTTCCCGGGCAGTTGAATGACGGGAAGGTGGGAAGGTATCCGCCGATCCCGGAGCAGTGGTCATGTTCCACTGGGGATCCTAGGCGGCGCGACCCCGTTCGGATCTTGTGCTCCAATCCGGATCTGGTCGACTGATCCCGGCGCGCTCCAAAACGCCCAGTGGAATTCGCCATAAATTATCTAAGTACCGAGGTGCATGCTACGACTGTAGTTGCACGCGTCGCACGTGCTGGCGTCTGCAGTAGTAACCGTTCTAAAGCAAAAAGTATAAAAGAAATTGTGCCTTGCACGCGCGTTCGTTAAAGCCTTATTATGATTTTTTACTTCGAATTTTTTATAAGAGGAAGGCCAGCGCGCGTGGACCGTAGAATTACACTTCCAGCGTTCTCCTCGCGATGCTTGGATAATTTAGTAGAAAGTCTGTTGGGACGCTGTCTGCTTTTGTGTGCTATCAATACCCGGCCGATTGAGTCAAGGCAATCCGCTTTCCAAAGACGTTGCGATGCCGACAATTATCGCGTTCATTTAGGCTTAGGAATGCCCAGAAACGAAACACTATCTAAAAAATGCGGCGATGTCATTGCCCATGCTTTGCGGTTTAAGTGAGGTAAGGCAAAGCGAAAGCCTCCTGCACCATTCGTTGCTGACTAACGCGCTCGATATTGCAGCTACAACGACATATTATTTCCAGAGCGAGCGGCGCTCACTCGCTGGGACGCCGCCATGTTTCCCCGCATCCCTACCGATCCAGTCACGTGACTTCAAAATCCCTCTCCTAGGTACTGCGGCTAACTTTAGCCACGGTTAGTGCTTCGAGCGAACGGGCCCAGATGCAATTTCGAAATCTGTTCCTTCGTTTTAAAATTAGTTCTCTTGATTTCTTCGCCTTCAGCCCAGAAACACTAGTCTAAGCTGTTGTGTCTGGGCTGCCGGCCCAACATAGCCCACATCGAAACAAAGAAATAATTGCTATACATTTCGTTTCCTTGAACGGAATATAGTCGACGTTCCGCGGCGTACATGCTCCGTTCATGAGGGTACGCACCACGCTGTTCAGTGCACAGGTTTGACAGTTTAAGATGTACTAAGTTTGTACGAGTGTTCGCTTGTATGAAGCGTCGCTCTCGCGCCCATGTCTCCTATAGCTCTGAGCAGAACTCTTGGCCTGAAATCTGTGGAAGGATGAGTGCGCGTGCATAGTTCTATACTCCGTTTCCCCTGAGACTACACTGGAAGCTACGGGTCTGCCGGACCCGTCAGCCGCCTCCTTCTTATCACCTGATCCGGCTCTCCGCGCGTAGGTACAGAACCATCTAGAATAATAAAAGCGAGTGCACTGGAATGTTGACGTCATCACAGTGAGATCGAGCGAAGGCACTGATTGGACACGAGTACTGCGTCAGTGCTCGGCTGAGCCTCGTGTCCAATTAACGCGTCGAAGGACGCTCGGCATCGGGCTCGGAACCAATTGCTGAGCTGGCGCCATTCGACTCTGATGACGCTCCACGGAGAAAGAGTGGATCGTTCGGAGGCCTTCGTTATTCAAGATGGTGAGAGCCCTGCATATCCGCGGATTATCCGTGGATATCCGCGGATATCCGCACTAAACGGGCGAATGAGGATAAAAATTAGACACATTTTGGCGGATTGCGAATCGGATGCGGATGCCAGGGGCTGCGGATGCGGATATCCGCGGATCTGGATCTATATGTTTGCCCGGTGGCTTTGAGTTGGTGGACTGACGTTTCGTCTACAGATCGTTTCGTCGACATGCGACGTTTGATAGAAAGGCTTATCGTGTTCGTCTCATCGAAAAACCTGAGACGCTTCGTCGCACACAACCCTGCTATTTTCGTAACAAACATTTTGCGTCTCGCCTGGATTACAGGGGGGGAAGGGGACATGGTTAAGCACGCCTTAGCGAATCGCGCGCTAGCTTTTAGCGGCTTAGTGAAAAAATGCGTTGTCGACAAAACGTCGCAGGGGAATGTGCCCAAAAAACGTACAGCGTCGACGAACCGTTTGTCCATGAAATGTATGTCCACGAAAAGTTGTCCACGACACGTATTTCCACAAAACGCGTTTCGAAGAAACGAGAGGGATCCTAAAAAAGATTTGGTTCTCACTGAAGATCGCTTCAGTTAGTGCGTTTTATCTCGTCAAAAATGCTATCTATAGAAAAAAAATAGAATGCAGGGCATACATCGTCCCGAAAAAGCTAGTACATTGGCAGGGAAAGCGCGGAAAACTTTTTCCGGGCAAAGAAAACCTCAAACGTACAAGTCACAAGAAAGTAGAAGAAACCTCCCCTCTCTCCGCAAAGAGTAGTGTGGTCATGATTCCAAACACGAAAGAAGTGCCTCGACAGCGAAGGCGACGCTGCGGCGCCACCGTTTGTAAAATTTCGGAATCAAGAGCGCACGCATATATATGCAGCCCCTAAACTGCCTGTGTGTTTCTTCTTTGTATGCTTAAAGTCCTAGCCCAAAAGTCTAATACCTCATGTTCGTCCCACCACGACGCCAGGGCGCCATAGCCGGACGAATATGAACCTCTCGTCCTTTTTAATTGTTTGACGGAACTAAAATGTCATAATTTAGTATGCCTTTTTTTTTAACTTTTATGTTTCAAAAGTATGCGTCTGCGTAAAATAAGTGTTACAAAGCAAAACAATATATACATCATTTTTCTGCGCTTCTTTTGGGCAGAGTGTCGTGTACTCTTAGGACGATCAAATAACTGAGATCATGTTTCCTTCGACACGCAGCGTCTCGGGAAGGCAAATCGCTTTAATATAAATACAATGAAACTGATAACGATAAAATATCCCCTTTGAATGGTGACCCGAAGATTACTTTGTACTGAGATAAGCAAACTCTTGATGTTATGATATACAATGAATGCCTGGATTGTAATCCGGACGTGGTTCCACATTGTGCGGATGCGGTTCGGATACGGATACAAAGTATGCGGATGAAGATCGGATACGGATAATCAAACTGTTATCCGCGCAGGCCTCTCAAAGATGGCGTTGGCGGGTACGGCCGGGCGCGTGATGACGTGGCGAAAGGGAGGCGTATGACTGGTTCCACGAGGACGTAGCTTCCAGCGCAGTCTCAGCTTAGTGCTGAACGGAGTATAATAGGCGCACAACATTCTCGTGCGTTCACAGTTTGTTACTTTTCAGTGTATCCTAAAAATCGATAGATATCCATGGAAGCACGCCCTTATGGAACGCAAAGAAAGAATCATGCGAATTTCGTCGTACTCGTTATATGATGAAACATACATTTAAGATCACAGCAAAGTCCCGTCCGCTTCAGCAGTGGCACTTATTCCGAAGATACGATAAGAAAAAGCGTGATCCACGGAAATATTAGAGAGTTTTAGTAATACGTATAGGGGCAAACGCAAGCCCCCTACATTAGCGTTAACGTTGCGTCGACGGAACGTTACGGAGCGCGTCGAATACGCACTTTTAGTACAGCGGAAGAAGAACGCATACGTAAGGACTTGTAGCGCCATCTAGATATGCTCCTGTAAACTGCTTCAAACAATCCAAGGCGGGTATTCGGTCAAGCCAATTAAAAAGCCCCGATTCTCCTGGCTTTGTTACGGAAGTGCGTGTTTCCGTGTGCCTGTTGTGTGCGTGTTTTGTCTTTCTTTTTTTTTTTTTTTTTTCTACCGATTGCACGGTAAGCACTTTTTTGGGTTCGACGGCGTGGCCAACGTTCTTGGCTATCGACACCCATATTTGTGGGTGCTCGAAAGGGTTCGTCGCGTTGACTTCTTTGAGGAGCTTGATGTCATCTTCAATGGTAAAGCGAACCCGTACAATGCGCGTAGCACTTCCGCTGGTTTGCCTCACCGCCGCCATTTTTCAAACTGGGCTAGTCTCGCGCTTTCCCGTGCGCGACGAGAGCAACGAGATGGCACGCAGGGGACCGCTACGTACGTTCGCAAAAATCGATAGCGAGCGTACGTACGCAAGGCTCGCCGCAGTACGTACGTATGGCGCATGCGCAGTGTGAACGACGCAACGTTAACGCTAACGTATGGGGTCTGCGTTTGCTCCTATACGTATTACTAAAACTCTCTATTAATATTGAAGAGCAGTTAGTTTCAACTTTGACCTACCAGATTTGTAGTTTGACCGGCACTCCGTCCAGGTTGATAATTTTCTGCTTGAAGTCAATTCCTTGAGAAAAGAAAGAAGAAAATGCAAAATTAGGACATTTCAACAAGAATATTAAGCCGGGGTCACACTGCTCATGCATCATATAAACGACGGTCTGCAAATACCAGTCACCGCAATATCCACGGTTCGAATGCCACGTGCTAAGTTTTCTCCTTGAACTCATTGCCATGCGGCATTCGAAGCACGGATCTCACGTTGACTCGCGTTCGAATCTGGTTCCAGACTCTTTTGTATGATGTATAAGCAGTGTGACCCCGGGCTTTACATTGCAATATGAGCGAAGAGATTGGGAGGTTGGACCACAATGAAAGAGGTCACAATAATTATATTAGTTTCGGATAAATTTTAAGTTGTAACTAACTCTCGTAAAGAGACAAAAAGGAGGAGAGGGCACGAATAAAAGAAAGATAAAAAAAGAGTGAAAACTGTATGTAAAGACGGTTCTTTTCAAGGCAAACTCTCTGCGGTTAAATTTTTAATATGGACATTACACGTCTCTCCAAACTCCGAGCTCGTCCTTTTTTGAGCTAACATGTATCTTTCTTTACTAGACACTGACTCCTGAGTCTTACCATAATATTTTCTAACTCTCGTTTGTGAAACCCCATGCGGGAGATAAACCACGTACAACCGGGCCCCATCTTTTCCTCCCCCGGCGCCAACCTCTTTTCTTCCTGCGTAAATAGCTCCAAGAGCGAGCTGATGTTTGAAGAGACCCGAAGAGCAAATATCGCTTCGGGACGATCAGAGCGGATTGAACGACTATCGGGCACAAACGCAGCAAGAAGCTAGAATAGCAAACACACTCACACCGACAAGAAGCTTCCGCCCCCGGCCCGTGTATATACGTAAGAAATACCGACCGCAAACTGAAGAAGATAAAAAAAAAAACGACAATTTGCCGCAACACACGCTTCTTTTTCACATGTGTGTGCTTGACATTGTGATTCTTACTATTTCATTTTTGTTTTTAAGCGAAAATCGATTTGAGCGCCACGATTGTTGGTAGCGGGAGCTCGCCAACCAACATCAGAGGAAGATGAGCACGGACGTGCTTTCTGTCCCGCCAGCTCCCCTTAGAGATTGGGCTTGCTCCCTCTTCAGGCGTCGTTGGCTTTTGAGTCCGATGTTCGAGCCGATTTCTGTATTTGCGGTGCGTGATTCGATCGTGTGAGAGGCGCATTTACGTGTCTGCCTTGTTTCAAACTAACGCGTTTTTTTTTTTTTTTTTTTTTTTTTTTAACGAGGTTACATTGAAATGGAGGATACGGAGTTGAAATGCAGAATACGGGGTAGCTACGGAACGGTATTAAACCAATTATGCGTGAACAAAATTTTAAACACAAAACAACCGAACCGAACCCGAAAGCTGTATTGTATATCTACACTATAGTGGTGGGACTGAACAGACTAGTTCAGTGGAAAATAGAGTAAATAAAGCAGAAAAAAATGCGAGAGGAAAGTATTCAAAAGAAACCAGCTTCAGCAATGTACAGGTCACAAAAACAGGGCACAGGAAAGTAACGGATGTTTGATAATGAGTCGGGGGAGCTCTTTACCGTTTGAGGCGAGAACGGGAGTGTTAAAGACAAAGACGTATACTAGGGATACACTTCAAGAGACAGACACATATTTGCCGCATGCCATAGTGTCAGCGAGACACTAGAACATGTGGTTTTTAAGTGCATGGGGCTTTGCCCTGCCCTCCCTGAAGGGACAATTTATTTGGCAAGTATACTGGGTTTGGCTGGCGATGATGGAAGAGCGGAGGAAAAAAAACACAGTCACAAGCAGGAGGTTTTAAGTTTGGTACAGAAGGTTTATAAAAGCGTGATCAAGCACAAAATTGGTTGGGTAAATCAATTGACGAGAGGCAAAATTTACAGAGAAATTTAAAGCGGAGGGGGCGTAAATGTTTCTAGGTTATTGGAGTAAGGTATCGCCCGATACAAAGGGTATTATGGCCAATACAATCTATTCATTCATCCATGATATAATAGAAGACATACGCTTGCTGGAAGTGTCACTCAGTATGTTCGGCACTCGGACTCAGTATGTTCATCCTGCCAATGAGATGGCGGTAAAGAGAGAGAGAACAAACAAACAGTGCATGGCTATTGACAGATAAGCAAGGTCAGCTCATTGTACGAAGGACTCAGAGAGGGACCGAGGTTCGCCTCAATATAGTCAGCGAAACGGGGCCTTCGTAGAAGAAACGCCACAAACGCTAACGCATTTCGACGTAGTCTCTAGCGAAGCCTCGCAGAAACACAGCCCTCTTATTGTTCGGTTTGCGCAATAAACACAGAAAAACACCATTGTAAAAATTTGATTATAGACCAAACAAGACACGCCTTGTTCCTGCGAGAAAACGGTGCCTGCGGGAACGCTAGTAACCCACACTTCATCTGCCACCACTAACTACATCGAGGCGCAAACCAGGCTAAGGGCACACATTACACAATCTAGTATAGGTATACGAAGGCTACAAGCCCCCGGGTGAGTTTTGTAATAGTATAACGACCCGAGCGAAATACCAAGAACCGCACCGTCTAGTTCAGTCGATCGTTCGGCGCGGTCACCCCGAGGGGTTGTGTCATGCAGTCGCGCGCCCAACCAAGATCAATACGCCGCAAAAATACGGTCCACCATGTCCATTCAAGTCGTTTATTCGGGCTGCCCAAAGGGTCGCATGAGCGTCTTGTATCAGCGTCGATAAAGGAAGCATTGCATCCTCGAGAGTGCGTGGTAGGCTGGTGAAGTCGTATACGCGGTAAGAGCTCGCCGACTTTCCTTGATTAGTCAAAAGATGCTGCACAACCGTGTACTGAAACGAGCGCGCTGCACTATTTTTTTATATTTTTTAAACATTTTTGTTTAGATAATATTAATGTTGCGGCTGGTAAAGCCGGTTTCCTAAAATGCAAAAAGCGAAAGTATGCAGCCGAGCTGGTTAGGAAACAATGTAGTAACAAATACACGCAAAAATAAAATAACGGACAAGACAACACAAAATCTAAATATTGTTAAGATTTCGTGTCATGCCTTGTTCATTATTTTATTTCTTTGTGTCTCGGGGTTTAGATTGTGATGTTTCATAAAACAATCGATCGATGTTGAAAACACGCTTAAAAGCATATATTGTTGAAGGGAAAAAAATGCTACGAAATGTGTCAGCAGGTTACATTTTTGACGTTGACAATCGTCTAGAAACAAAAATGAACAGAAAAGAAGGGCGACGTACACGGCGATGGCCTACGTAACGCAACGTTTGTCCGTGATTGAGTGGCGCTCGACGTCAGGCATGGTATATGCGGACGTGAATATTTTCTTTTCTGACCGATCGTCATGGCCTAACAAAAAGGACTTTTTTTGTGTGTGGATCGTACGCAAAGGCTTTGCGTTGCTAGAGAGAGTTCGTGTCGTCACTCTGAGCGCAAAGTGAGCGGGCGCCGGCAGAGTCCGCAATCCGCAGCATACGATGTCCAAAACATCCTAAAGCTCGAACGCCCTTTGACGGTGAGGGTTAATGAGGGTCCGTTTCCGCCGCGTAAGGAACATAACAAAACCGAACACAACACCGGGAATCGTGTGAACGAACCTCTCTTTTATCGCGAGCACGCGGCGTCACTTTCAGAGGGCTTCCCCGTGGGACGTCGAGCACGTAGCTCTCTTACACGCCGTCAACACACGCCACTGTTATGCCGGGCCACGGTGGCGCAAGACCAGCGGTCGCCCCTAGCGACCACCGAGGGACTCGACCGGATCCATGTGTCGGCGACGTCTGGTCTACGGCCCCAGACGACAGCCTGGGCAAACAGCCGCCACGCTTCGTTGAGTACGCTCTTCCAACGGCGAGGGTGTACCGTAATAAAGCCGCCCCGGGTGCACTGCTGAAAAGCGCTACCCACGCGGTGCGCGATAAGTCTCTCCCTAAATAACAACCCCTATTGGCATATAGTGTCACTCTGTATAGCGTGAGCGCATGACTTTGTTTAGAGTCACTTAAAAAGCTACGCCCCCGAAAGGTGAAAACCCTTCGGTCCTCTTGTTGCTCAAAGAGAGCATGAAGACGATTCTGCACTCTTTCTTTTTTTAAAAAAATAGGTCTTTTCCGTCTTTCAAGGACCTGGCAATATGCTCTTTTTTTTATACAGTATGAAGCTTATCATTTTGTATAACATAAAATAACGAAACCGAAACTAACGTTCGGCCTTCCCGCCAGTGAAGCAGTATTTCGGCGTACCAAGGCTTGTCCTCCGATCACGCCACCTGACAGCGAGACGCGTTCGACGTGTTGTACCTTTTTCCTGCGGTGTTGCGCGCTTTCGTAAAAAAAAAAATATATATATATATACGCGTCCTCGAAGGCAGTCGTTAGCGTTTGCAGAGGGTTTTCAAAGACTTCTTGGGCGAATGACGGCGAACGAGCAGCAAAATATATCTTTCAGCACGCAGCTGCCCAGCCTCTGCAACGCTTCAACCGACTGATCTACACAGGCCCAAGATGGCCGATTCGGAACTTCCGTATTAGCAGGGCGGGGGAGCAAGGCCAAGTAAATTGTCATAAGAGATCCGTGGCGTAAAATCGTCTGCAAGTTCTCCGCCACTCCGTCCGCTTTCCTCTTCACACCGCGACAGTGCAGCGCATGCGCACTTGTGATCAATCTGCTCAGGAGGAGGCGTCCACCATTAGATATCAAACACTCGACTTCATGGTCCGAGTTGCTCCCTCTGTTGAATCTAGGCTCTCTGGACACTAAAGGCCGGTTCCCACATGCAGCGAAGCCCTGATGTAGCGCTGCTCACGTGCCGTCAGCTACTTATTGTCTGGCATGAGCAACAGTTTTGACGGTGCGATACAAAGCTGGTGAACGCTCCCGTCGGCACGTGCTTAGCGCGAGGTCAGCGCTATGCTTGTAGCGCTCCGCTGCATGTGTGAACAGGCCTTAATAAACACGAGGAGCGCTCGGTGTATGTTATTCACAGCAACCCCACAC